CCTAAAGATTACAGCCTACAATAAAAAACTACATATTTCCATGCAAAAAAATGGTACCTCTTTCAGCACAAAAAATTGGAAAGAATCATACCGCCGAGGAGGTTAAAGGGAGACTGGATTTAGTCAATTTTATTTATTTTTTTATGTTCACTTGTTTAAAACAAATGTTTGAAATATCTTTTTTATCTATATTGTTTACATACAATCTTTAATACATAAATAAAACATTTTATGCAATGTGTAACTGTGGCATGGTAGTCACAGAGCTATTTTATGTTTTCAAAGAATAAAGACAGTTTTAGCTGTTTGCTGTCTGACTTTCTCTCAGGCCCTGTATAGCAAAGAGAGATGGCAGATAAAAGTGCTTGGGGGGGGAGCGGGTTAGGTCATTTCTTTCATTCAGTTAGTTTTGTGTACAATTTATGGTTAAGCTAACAGATTTTTTTTCACCAATGCAGTTAAAATTAGTCAGGTAAACATGTTATAATAAGCCAAAAGAGCGACCTGCCAGGTGGAAGGAAAATATTTATGTACATATGCAACATTTCCTATTTATTTGACTACTTAAATAAAATAAAAAAACAGATTTTCATGGAGATTATGAACAAATACAGATGCAGAACATTATAGAACACTTTAATAGCCATACTGGGGTGGGTATTTTAAAATGAAAGGCTTAAATACTTATTTTCCCTTGAGAAAAATTTTGTTCCAGGCAGAGTTTAAGTACCTGTCTACACTCACCAGCCACTTTATTATACCACTATTGTACAACTTGCTAGTGCCAAGAAAATCTCCCCCACACCATTACACCACCACCACCAACCTGAACTGTTGATACAAGGCAGGATGGATCCATGCTTTCATGTTATTTATGCCAAATTCTGACCATAACATCTGAATTTTGCAGCCACCAGTCTGCCCATTCTCCTCTGACCTCAACCATTTTTTAACTCTTCCATTTCCGGATGCTGCCCAGAGCCTTTTTTCATCATGAAAAATACATGCAAAGCGGTTTCCTGGTACTCAAATGGACCTGGTACACCATACTTTGAGGTTTCGCATGAAAGAAAATATGTTAGACACTGCTGCAATAATTTCTGCACAGAAATGAGCTGGAACACATTCAAACACCACAAAAAAAAGACAGCTAATCTCAACAAATACTGCTCTCTCTGCTTCTGCTCTCTCTATTTTTCTCAAAATGTCTGTAATAGTTACATTTTTACTGCTATAAAAGTGCATTCTGGGCATTTTGGAAGGTTTCCTGAGGTTATCTTTATAACATGCTTCTAAATGCAAACGCTCATAAACGCGCACAAACGTATGCAAATGCAGCTAAACAGACGTTTTTTAACATGCGTTTTCCAGCGGTCAGTTTCCATCGTTCAGAAGTGTCTCGTGCACATGGAGCCTAAATGCATTGCGTTGCTGCCATGTGATTGGCTGATTAGCAATTTGTGTTACAAAGCAATTGAACAGGTGTACCTAATAAAGTGGCTGGTGAGTGTTTGATTTCTGATAAAGGGTAGCATCACAGTAAAGACTGGTTGATCCTCCTGATTCAGTAAATAATTTGTGACCAGATCAAAGGTCATGCCGCTGGTCATGTGATCGACATTAGAGGAAGCCTGGAATCTTTTTCTCCAGGTAAGGTACAACATGGTAAGTATTTCATCTAATTTATTACTCTTTATGTATCCCAGCAATACATCACTTTAAAGTGGTCCTAAAGGCAGAAGGTTTTTTAGCTTAATGCATGTTATGCATTAGAGTAAAAAACCTTCTAATTGCAGCTCCCCCCTCAGCCCTCTTGTAGTTACCTGAGCCCCATCTCTATCCAGTGATATGTATGAGAGCAGCAACACTCCCGGGTTTCTCTCTTCTCATTGGCTTACACAGACATTGGCTCAGTCAGTGAGCCAATGAGGAGAGAGCTATGTTTTGTGTTTGTCCATTCACAGAAGTGCAGCTCATGAGCAAGCCTGTTCGAGTGCCCCCATAGCAAGAGGCTTGCCATTGGGGGCACCCGGCTGGGAGGGGGGGGGAACAGAATCGCCAGTAAGGGACCAAAAAAAGAAGAGGATTGAGGCCCCTCTGTGAAGACCATTGCACAGAGCAGGTAGGAATAACATGTTTGTTACTCTAGAGAAGCCAGAGTTTCTATACACTGCACTGATAATGGCCAACACACCTGCAACAGCTTTATCCAGTTTGGAATAAATAACTATGTAATGTTAGGCTGTATCTGTATTGTATCCAGGAGTTGTGTATACACAGTTGGCCTAGGGGCACATCAGATGATTAGCATAGTCCTCCTTGCTATCCTAAAATGAAGAATACATCTTTAAAAAAAATAAAAAATAAATTATACTGTAAACCTGAATGCTCATGTGCTGTAGAGAAAGGGAAACATTTAACCACTTAACTGCCATGTTTTACTATGTACAGAGTAACTATGTACAGAGTAAATGACTTCAGAAACCTTCTGTGCTTTTTTTAACCACTTTCCCTCCAGAAGATTCATGCCCCTTCCTGACCAGGCCATTTTTTTGCGTTACAGCGCTGCGTTACTTTAACTGACAATTGCGCGGTCATGCAACGCTGCACCCAAATTAAATTTACATCCTTTTTTTTTCTCACGAATTGAGCTTTCTTTCGGTGGTATTTGATCGCCTGTGCATTTTTTATTTTTTGAGAAAAAAGCAAGATTTTTGACTTTTTGCTATTAAACACGTCCAGTAAAAAAAACACATTAGTGAATTGTTTTGGATAGCAGCGCAGCATCATTTTGTTTGTTTTATACATTTCTGAATACCAGATAAAATTAGGTCCCTAACTCTACCTATTTAAAAAACACAGGAGTATCCTATATTGTATTATGCATAGTCATTGTAGATGTGCATGAACCTGGTCACTAAGCAAAATACCCACCAATCCAACCATATACATTATGTTGTTTAAAAGAGTAGACTATTTATTTAGGAAAGTGAAGGTGCACTGAGCCTAAGAAGATGAAGCTGTGTTAACTTGAATTAGCAAATCATGTGTAAGAAAAATCCATTTGTTTTTATAGATATTTTGCATGAATGGATACTCAAAGTTAACACTTCTTCACCTTAGTAACTAAGCTCAATAAACATTCACATTTCAAAGTAAACGTTCATTTTGCAAAGGCTGGCTTTACACCATTGGTTTGCGGTAACCCACCTTACATGCAATGGTGTATTGCAATGTCATTTACATTGAATGCCACCTAAATACACATCCCCCATGTACCTGCTTTGCAATGCACTTCCTACCATGCTTTGTGGTGCACTGCATCTCCCTCACTCAACGCAATTTTACGTAAGTATGGGTTATAATGATCGTGCATTAACGTAAGTGAACAGGTGTGAAGGCACATTTAGTATATGAATTCCTTTGTATATTTATATTTTTTTCCTTCCAAACTAACAGTAACAGTTGCCAAAATGTTCAAATGGTTTATAGGGACCCTTGAATGGATTTGAGGAAAAAATGCAGTGTTCGAAGAACTACATAGTTGTCATGGCTTCACATATTTTCCATCCACCATTGTGCCAAAGACCCCCTTCCTGTGAAGCCACCACTGTTCTGCAGAGCCCTGAGTAAGCAGTATTGGTAGAATTGTTTTTATATTGACCTATTTGTATTTATCATTTTATTATTTATATTTATCATTTTGAAGAAAGTTTTACACTATGGAGAGGCTCTCTTCCTCTTAATGCCTTGCATGGATTGTTATATGGTTTGTCATACTGTGCGGATCATTTATACTGTATTGACGGTGTCTCTGTTTACCATTGAGGCTGCTGTGGGTGTATCTTTGATACCGGAGGATATCATACAAGTGCTTTTTGACCACTCTTATTGTAAGATGGTCATTGGGATCTGGTAAGCGTGTATTCCATTACCACTTTTGGTGATGGTTTCATCACCAAAAGTAAACATAGCATAAACATAAAACCATATGAAAAATACAAAGTAAGAGAAACAAAGTCAATATAAAAAAGTCCCATCCAAGTGTTAGCAAGTGTTAATATATGGAAAGTTCATTCCATCCTAAAAACATAAAGCGCCACCGCTCGGAACCATCACCAAAAGTGGTAATATCCTCCGCTATCAAAGATACTCCCAGAGCAGCCTCAATGGTAAACAGGGACACCGCCAATAAATTGTAAACAATCCTCACAGTATAACAATCCATGCAAAGCAAAAAGAGGAAGAGAGCCTCTCCATAGTGTAAAGCCTTCTTCAAAATGATTTTATTTAATAAAAATATACTCGCATATATTAAAACAACATGTGCATGTAATTACAGAGACTAAGTCTGGCATCAATGTCAACTTCCTCAAACGCAATGATATCAGTGCATAGCTCTGCCCACTTGGGTAATCGTGCCAATTGGAGCTTTTAAGCGTGTATCCCATTACCACTTTGGGTGATGGTTTCAAGTTGTGGAACTTTATGTTATTAGGAAGCAATGAACTGTCCATATACACTATATTGCCAAAGTATTGGGACGGCGGCCCTTGCACACACATGAACTGTAATGGCATCCCAGTCTTAATCCATGTTTTTATGGATCTTGCTTTGTGCATTGGTGCTCAGTCATGTTGGAACAAGAAGGGGCTATCCTCAAACTGTTCCCACAAAGATGAGAGCGGGAAATTGTACAAAATGTCTTGGTATGCTGACACTACTTTAAGAGTTCTTTTCACTGGAACTAAGAGGCCAAGCCCAACCCCTGAAAAACAACCCCACACCATAATCCCTCCTCCACCAAACTTTGGCACAATACAGTTAGGCAAGTACTGTTCTCCTTGCAACCGCCAAACCTAGACACATCCATTGGATTTCCAGACAGAGAAGCGTGATTCGTCACTCCAGAGAACATGTCTCCACTGCTTTAGAGTCCAGTGGTGGCGTGCTTTACACCACTGCATCCGACGCTTTGCATTGCACTTGGTCATGTAAGGCTTGGATGCAGCTGCTCAGCCATGGAAACCCATTCCATGAAGCTCTATATGCAGTGTTATTGTGCTAATCTGAAGGCCACACAAAGTCTGGAGTCTTTAGCTATTGACTCTGCAGACAATTGCAGACTTCTGTGCACTGTGCGCTTCAGTATGCTCTGACCTCGCTCTGTCATTTTATGTGACCTACCACTTCATGGCTGAGTTTCTGTTGTTCCCAGTTGTTCCACTTTGTTATAATACCACTAACAGTTGACCATGGAATATTTAGCAGCAAGGAAATTTCATGAATGGACTTGTTGCACAGGTAGCAACCTATCATGGTAGCATACTGAGCTCCTGAGAGCAACTCATTCTTTCACAAATGTTTGTAGAAGCAGACTGCATGCCTAAGTGCTTGATTTTATACACCTGTGGCCATGGAGGTGATTGGAACACCTGAATCTAATGATTTGGAGGGTGTCCCAATACTTTTGGCAATATAGTGTAACAACACTTGCTAACACTTGGATGGGACTTTTTTTATATGGACTTTGTTGCACTTACTTTGTAGTTTTCATATGGTTTTATGTTTATGCTATGTTTATATATATTTTTAGCAATTGCAACACTTATTTAGCTTGAGTGCAACGCATTTTATTTAAGTGTATTTGGTGGAAGGGATATCCCTATTTTTTTGTGTTTGATGCCAAACAATTTTCTTTTTTTGGGTGTGCACAGGTGCACAGTTATATATATTTATAAATAAACTGCAGCCACTGATTACTGTACTTTGACAGAGGGCAGTCCCACTGTCAGAATACAATATCCCAGAGGGGGGATTCCTCCATTGATGGGTAAATGAATCTGTCTGTGTCATTGAGGAAACAGTGCACACTCCTTCCTTAGTGCACTGATTGGCTGAGGAGTTGTGAACTAGAGGTGGGCAAAGTCTGAAGAACTGAAAGACTAGTTCCCCATTAGGTCTGTTTTATATATGATTGACAGTACAAGGTAGTGGGTGGATCTGTAGCTGTTATTCTGTCCAATAGCTGTATTGAATGTAGCCACTGCCATGCACTGTCAATCACAGGCAAGATGAACCTGATGAAGAGCTAGTCTCAGAATTCTTCATCAGGCTCGGTGCTCATTAATTTGAGTTAATGGGTAAGCAGAGCCTGATGGGGAACTGTGAGACTAGTTCCCCATCAAGTCTTCCTTGGCTGTGATTGATAGTAGATGACAGTAAGTTGAATAGCAGCTATGGATCTGCCCTTGTCAATCACAGGCAAGGCGAACCTGATAGGGAACTATTCTCTCAGAGTTTCGCAGCAGGCTCTGCCCATTATCAATACAGTGTGATTTGCCTCATTGGTTGTTAGGATGCGGGTGGCCTTTGTCTGAGCAACCAATGAAACCCTGCACATCAACTTCAACTTGGACTGGTTACTGCCAGTTTGCTTATCTGTAAACTGGCGGTGCAGTAATTCTTTATGGATCTGTACAGTCATACCTACCCAGGGGCGGACTGACAACTCATGGGGCCCCCGGGCAATAGGGGATCATGGGGCCCCTGTGTCCTTGCCCAAACTCAAAAAAGCCTATGAAAGAGGTACCAGGGGCATCTCATGGGGCCCCCTATTGACCCCGGGCCCTCGGGCAGTGCCCGAGTTTCCAAATGGTCAGTCTGCCCCTGTACCTACCTGAATCTAACACATGTTTCTGTACTTGTACTGAAACTGATGCATGACCTTTATGAATTTGGTTCAGGACTTATTAAAAGGGCCATACCACCAAAAACGAGACCTTGCTGCTTTATTGAATTGCCCTGAATATGTCCCCTACTCTTCTTACAAGTTCTCTTCAAGTAATAACAGTCTGATTTGCCAAGAATCTCTAATCATTACCGTTTTCAGATTTCAACTAAATTAAAAGAATCTGATTGACGGATGGATAGCTAATTTTCTTAAGCTGAATCATAAATTTAGTCAAATCTTTGAGCCGCGTGTTAAAAACAAACAAAATAAAAACAGCAGTAATGGTATAATTGTGTCTTTATATTGACTTTTCTTATACTAAAACCTAATGGTCAATTGAATATGGTTTTCTAGAATATGGCCCTTCTGAATTATGGGGCTTTAACTGGCAATTGCTATTACTAATTATTTTATAATTGTTATAGATTTTGCTTCAATAAATACAGCAACACAAGAAAAATATGATCAATGTACTTTGAAAAGCTGTTACCGATATATCTGCATAAAATCAGATGAATTTTTTTGTTCGATACTTGATTTACTCTTTTGTATTCTCATATGAGGTCCGTAGGCTTGATCAATAAACAGTGAAAGAAAATCCAACAACTTATAGCAGCCAATCAGAATTCATTTTATTGATGTCACTATGATTCTGATGGGCTGGTATAGTATGTTGCTCTTTGCACTTAGCTTCTTGCACTCTTTTAGTAAATAGACCTGTAATTCTTTGTTCTAAAATGTGAAACAGAAATGGGCAATGTGCCTTTTGAGTAACGGTGCTGTCATATATCCTGACTTTTGAGAGAAAGTGAATGCCTTGCTTGGCATTCCATTCAATTACAAATGATTTAATTAATCACAAGATGATTTAATTAAATGGATTGCTTATTAGTCACCTGCTAGGAAGATAATTGTCAGAGAATACACAGTAAATGCATTGAACACTCGAATAGTTGTTTATAAAATTAGTTGTCACATAGCTGTTGACATACGCTGTCACGTTGCTGCTGAACATGTGCCTCTATCATAGCATATGTTGCTTACTGTCTCGTATATGTTCAACTTTTTATTTTCAGGGTTATTGCGGCAGTTCATGGAAAAATAATATTTCAGTTTTGGGTGGGTGCTACTGGTTCGGCTCCAATACATGTTGGGGAATACAATGTGGGGAGTTTTCTATTGGATAACTGAGCTTTTTTCTTCCTTCCATGGCATAAAAAAAGGGGACAGTTTGGCAAATTGTAATTCCAATGCAAGGATCTTTGTAAATACTGCCCCAAATGAGCATTGTAAATATTTTAAACAACAGCTATCCATTGGTTAGTTTGGACTTACTGTAGCATTTGTTACATGGATCATAACTGTGAATGCAGCACTTTGTCAGTGGTACAGTAGCTGCATTGAAAACATGTCACGGGCGAACAGCTCCTGAACCACCCGTGGGCCTAATTTGTGCCGAACTGGTTCAGAAAACAGCTCATTATTTTGCATGATTTTAAATATATTTGCTTCTAAAGTCAAGGTCAGTAAATCGTCTTTTATTATAAGAGACAAAAAACCCTTAGCAACAAATCTATAAAATTTTAAACTGTCTGCAGCAAAGAAAATTGATTATATTGGTACTTGAACTGCCCATCAATTGCTTATCCCATCATGTAATGCTGTAATGTAATACTTGGCCTATTACTGAAAGCCAGCAACCACTGAGGGGTGAAAGTGTGTATTTTTACTGCTCTTGAACAGTGAAGGAACCCATTAAGTAATCCCTTATTATTACATGTCATTCTCTTGCAGCCATCAGTCTGTATTTTTATTGAAATGGAAAATCATTAAAATGCTGCTTTGGCTGCACATACAAATATTGAACAAAATGGCAATTTTTCAGATAGGGAGAGACACAAGCTGTATTAACCCATTCATTGCCATGAGTATCTCCTCTATGATAGGCTGCCACATAAACCTTGAGTACATGATTAATGTAGAGAAAGTATACAATGTTGCAATGTGTTGTGATATTGCATTAAACACATCTCTGCCTTTTTGTTATAAATAAAAATATCTTGCTCATCAGTTGGAAAAAAAAAAAAAAAGTAGATTTTGCTGCAATAACCAAATCCTCTCCGGTGCTGTTCCTTAGACTCACCACTCTGCGATCCAGCACTGATCCTTTTCTGGGGTGAGTGTTGCCTGTAGTCATCCAGTGCATTCCAGAGAGCTTTGGCCATATGTCAGCTATTGGGCTTATTGAACTTTTGAAGAAAGAGGTGCTCATACCTCATTACATGAGCAATACATGAGTATGGCCCACCCACCATGCTGCCACCAGAGGAGAAGAGGAAGGACCCACGATGCCATTACTGGTTTGAATACTACCAGATCTAAAGTATGTATAAAGTCGTTTTTTTAAAATGAGGATCAGGGGGAAGTTGGAGAAAGGAATGCACACAAACGGATGCTCTTGCATTAAAATTTAAGTTCCAAAATGGATCCCTGAATTTACAGTCTCTCCCCCCCCCCCCACACACACACACACCTTACAAACAGGTCTTACTCTCCTTGTTGGATTGTCGCTTACATGCAGCAGAATGAAAAAGACTCTGTAAGGCAGATGTATATGTAACACCCTGCAGTAATACTAGTTGCAGGATGTTAAATGGACACAAGATGGCAGTGTTCTGCAGCTGAGTTATACAGACTCTGTTGAAGAAAAGATTTGTTAGACTTGTAGGGTAATAGCAGGACTTCACTGTTTAAGAATAAGCTAACAAATTACATTTCCCAGAAGCAGCAGGCTGATGGGCAGAGGCAAATAAATACAGAAATCCGGGAAGAAAATGGACAGTGAGAGATGGACAGTAGTGATGGGCCGGACACCCCCCTGTTCGGTTCGTGGTCGAACATTCGAACCTCCCAAAAGACAATTTACTGAGTGGTATTTTACTCATCTGAGTAAGATACCGCTCAGCTACTGAAATACTGCATGAGTTATATATTTTAGTAGTTATATTATTGTAGTAGTGAAACATTCTTTAATGTTTCAGCTGTCAGCAGCATTGCTTGACAATTAACAATAAAAACAAAAATGGTGTGGGGTCAAGCCCTTCTGGTCTGGTATGGATTTTGAGGGGAACCCCCACGCCAAAATGTTTAAAAAATGGTGTGGGGGTCCCCCCAACAATCCATACCAGACTCTTATCATCTGAGAATTCAGCCTGGCAGGTCAGGATAGGGGGGGGACAAGCGACCCCCCCCACCCCCTGAACCATACCAGGACACATGTCCTCAACAGGGGGGGTGCTCCCCCCTCCCAAAGCACCTTGTCCCTATGTTGATCAGGACAAAGGCCTCTTCGCCACAGCCCTGGCCGGTAGTTATGAGGGTCCGTGGGCAGGGGGCTTATCGGAACATTGAAGCCCCCTTTTTAACAAGGGGGCCCCCTACTACTCTATGTGAATGGTACCGCTACCCATTGCCAAAAAAAAAATTGTAGTGCAAAAATGACAGGAGAGAATCTTTGACAATTCCCCTAATAAAACAAAATTAAAAAAATTTCCCCCGAAGTAGATCCAAGTTCAATCAAGGTGCCTGCTGCCACTGCCGACTCGAAAAAAGTAAAATAAAAAACACTCCGCTCTCAACAATGACAGTTCT